AAGATAACAATATTAACACAGTAAACAATGAAATATCAACCTGTTCAGGCAAGTACAAAAGGGTCCACGAGTATCAACCAAACTCACTTGCCACAACACTACTTGGGCCATTATTAAAAAATTCATTCTACATTAAATAATATATAAGACCGTTGTTTTATCACTGTCAATGGTCAGATGATTTTATATTTTTAGAGACTTGATGTTTATTCCTTACATTTTACTGCTCTTTTTAGGTAAATAATAATAATAGTATCTATGGTAATAGAGCAGATCTATGGTGTGAGAGCACCACAAATCAATGATACCCTTTACCTCCCTTGTTTATTATTCCTATTATGATTTTATTAGCATTTTGCACTTTTTTATCCGCTACTATGTTTTTTTCTATTGAAACTTCTGCTTCCATATTATTTTATCCTGTGCTGCGGCTTTCAGTTTCCTGTATTTCTCTTCTCGCATATGTCATCAACCATCTGCATTCTTTTTTTTCCCAATTTTTTTAGTCCTATATATAAGGTTTAGTATATAGGATTTTAGTTCTAAATACTACCATAAATTAAACTGCTACTAGTTTTACATTTTCTTAACAAAAAATGTTATACATTTTTACAATTGTATGGGGTAGATGTTTATTAATAATCTGTATATTATGAGGTATAAATATATCAAGCCATACAAATAATAAATTATATTTTGCTTTAGGAATGGTTCCAATTGATTCTGTAATCCATGTTGATTACAAAAATAGTTACAAAGTAATTCTTGATGGTCTTGTAATTGGTCATGTTGTTGATGATAGAGCGCATGCATTGGTGTCCATGCTACGGGAGAATAAAATTTTAGGAAATGACATACCGCATACATTAGAAATTGTATTGGTACCTAAAAAGAAGGTAATATATTATATAATTTTATGCAAATTTGTAAGTAAAAAATCTGAATAATACAGTAAATACTTTTATTTATTTTTGATTGGTAATGAAAATATTGAAGACATAACAAAAAAATATATAATTTATTCAAAAAAAAATCTGAAAAAATACCTTTAATATTACAAATTACATTCCAATTGAAAAAAATCTTTAGAGAAAATTGATTGTAAATTTTAGTAAAATTATATACATCTTTTACATTTCTTTTTCTGATAGGTTGTTGCTCAGTACCCTGGGTTATTTTTATTTACTGGTCCTGCTAGAATGATGCGTCCTGTGATAAATTATCTCTGAAACAAATTGAACTTATTGGTACATGGGAGCAAGTTTATCTCGATATTGCGGTTGTTGCCAATGAGATCTACCCAGGTGTTACTACGCATTTAGAGCTTTCCAAAACAGCTTTCTTGAGCAATCTTGCTAATTTAATTCCCATGCCTGATTGTAATCAATCTCCCAGGTAGCTATATTATTATAAGAAAATAATGTTTTATTTGTAATTTTGATCAATTTGTTATGCATTTTATATAAATAGAATAGGTTTTGTGTATCATAACATTTATAACCTAATAACTATCATCGTTTGACTCATCAAGATATGTTATATACAAAATGTTTCAATTTTATTGTTTTTAGAAATATGTATCAATGTCAGATGGGTAAACAGACCATGGGTACACCTTTACATTACTGGCCACAACAAGCAGAAACAAAATTATATCGACTTCAAACACCAGCTACACCTTTGTTTCGGCCTGTTCATTATGATAATATTGATTTAGATGATTTTCCAATGGGAACAAATGCTATTATAGCAGTTATTTCTTATACTGTAAGTTTGCAGATACATATACAATAGATTTATGAGTAAAATTGATTGAGAAATTTTCATTTAGGGTTATGATATTGCTATGATAATTAATAAGGAATCATATGAAAGAGGATTTGCACATGGATCTGTATACAAATCTGAGTTCATCACGCTTGAAGATTCATCTAGTTATTTTTGCCGAGATCCAAATAATAAGCAATTAGTAGATCACTTGGATACAGATGGGCTACCTCATCCGGGATCAAAATTGAGTTATAAAGTTCCATATTATTGGTAAAATTATACTAATATCAAGTGCATGTATATATTTGAATTAATAAGAAGTACTAGAGGTAATTTTTTTTTTAAACAGTTTTTACAATGTCGAGGAATCTAGATATATAGTGAAAAGGTATGAATCAACAGAAGATGCTTACGTAGACAATATAAGATTGTGTGGTACATTTTCTACTATTGCTCCAAAAACAGCTTGCATTACTATAAGGATATCAGTGAGTCTAAGATGAATGTTCATTATTTATAATACAATTGATATATTTTAGCAACGAGAAGTCCAAATTTAATAAGTTATTTAATATTTATTATTTTAGCGAAACCCATCAGTTGGTGACAAATTTGCTTCGAGAGCTGGTCAAAAGGGTATTTGCTCTCAAAAATGGTCAGCACAAGATTTACCTTGGACAGAAACTGGTTTAGTTCCTGATATTGTATTCAACCCTCATGGATTTCCCTCTCGCATGACAATTGCTATGATGATTGAATGTATGGCTGGAAAATCTGCAGCCTTACATGGCCTGGTATAATTTTTGTTAATATGGTAGAAATAACAAATTTGGTTGAATAATTGCTAATCAAAAATTATTTGTTTGATTCTATTTCTTTCCTTTTTTAATATAAAAAAAAAAACAATAACTAAAATGATTGTTTATTCTCATTATTAATCCACCTGTTTTAAAGTGGCATTGAATTATAGCATATCTATAATCATTTATTGAATTTTTGCATAACATTTTATTTATAATCAGGTACATGATGCAACCCCGTTTCGGTTTAATGAAGATGATACGGCTATTGATTACTTTGGAAGACTTCTCGAAGCTGGTGGATATAATTATTATGGAACTGAGCGTCTATACTCAGGGATAGATGGCCGAGAATTAAATGCTGATATATTTTTTGGAATAGTACACTATCAAAGGCTCAGGCACATGGTGTCAGATAAGTGGCAGGTAAGCTGTTTAAAATGCATTTCATAATAATACAATAATAATCTAGAAAATTTTTAAAGTATTAATTGAAATACAGTAGAATCCGATTAGTATGACGCCGGATATATTGACAACCGCTTATTATGACGTAATCGCACTAGGAAGTTTGGTTTCCATATAAAATTCCTTAAAAAAACAGCTGTCTAGTCGGATATATTGACATTGCTTACATTGATATGTTTCTTATAATGACCCATTTTTGCAAAAATTATGTCCAATTATAATGACCGACATGATTTTACATGATGTGGCCAAATCTACGAAAGCAATTGCTATGTCTTTTGTGCACAATAGCACTAGAAAAGAAATCAATCAAAAATTTTTGATTACTTACATTAAAAAATCACATTTGTATGTTTATGGACAGGGTAGACCAATTATTAATGGTCCACCACGGATATCTCGTAAACAAATAAAATTAGATTTTTTTTTAACAAAAATATTTGATAGTAGCGATTTGATAGTAGAGGGCAAAAAATGTATAAATTCATAACCAGCCATCATCTTTATTTTTATGACTTTGCTATCAGAAGATAAGCAGCACATGAGTGGGATAAAAAGGACCAGCAGAACCTTTACTTTGGCAAAGGTGTAAGCAATAAAATAGTAAAGTTTAAAAAAGGCAATTTTACAAGAGATTAATTAAATAAATTGTTATTTCTCGTCTGATGAATATTTCTGACCAATCAGATCAATGTAATATACTGTGTTATCTTTGTAACAAATGTACCCACAGAATTAATATTTCGCATTGTTTCAATAATGTAGCGTAAAATCCCTTTAAAATTTAATACAAGAAATTGCATCTGTTTGCCCCCTGGTTGGCCCACTTTACCCCGTATGTGGGGTAAGATGGGTCAGATACCAAATTAAAAAAAAAGAGTAAAAAAAATAATATTTATATAATTAGGAATTATGTGAAATTTTTTCTGTACATAGTTCGATAGATGCTTGTTTGATGTGTGTTAGTGTTGCAAGATTCATTGGGTTTAGAGAGTTTAATTACTGAAAGTCAAATTGGACCTTTGTGCCCCGTCCTACTCTATATCAATTTTTTTTTATATTAAATTTTAATATGTGTAATTTTTATTTTTAATTAAAATGTATGTATAGGATTTTCTTTTAAATTACTGAAACATGTAATATATTTACATATTATAATGTTTTTCTTCAGTATGCTTTGTATGACGACCGGTTAGTATGACGAGATTTCGGCGTCCCTTCAATGTCATACTAAGCGGATTCTACTGTATTGAGATATTTTTATATATTTTCATTCACATAAAATGGTTATAATTTTTCTTTTCATACTTGCATTTCACTAAAAAAATGCTATTAAATAATATATTTGTGAATATTTAGGTGAGATCAACTGGTCCCATCGACGGAATGACAAGACAACCTATAAAAGGAAGAAAACGTGGAGGTGGTGTTCGTTTTGGTGAAATGGAACGTGATTCACTTCTTTCACATGGAGCTTCATTTTTACTTCAAGATAGATTGTTTCATTGTTCAGATAAAACCACAGTAAGTAAACTTCCTATAGTTACTGTCTAATAATGATAGTTAAATTGTAAGTTTTTATGGATCATGTTTATCATTGATTAATGCTTTTTTCAAAGAAACACATTAAATTATTTTTTATTTCAGGTTTTAATTTGTCAGAACTGCTGTACACTCCTAGGGCCTATGACTGAAGTATCTCTTGATGTTGCAGGGGCTAGAAGTAGTTGTGATAAATGTAGGATGTGCGGAGATAAAGGAAAGGTTCATTCTATACAAATTCCTTACATATTTAAATATCTTGTTACACAATTCAGTTCTGTTAATATCAATGTTAAAGTTAAATGTAAAGAAACATAATTTATTTTTGAAAATAAGGTTAATAAAATATTTGATAATTTACAAAAGAGTATTATATTATTGTTTATATAATTTTCTTCACTTAAATTTATTTATTACTGTTCATTTATTATTGTCTAGAAAAATGTTCCATGTTTTTAAATACTTTCTATTTATATACTCCACGAACTCATTTTTTAATTGTTTCAGGCATCTAAAAGAATATTGTTTATTATTCTTTTCAGATTACTACTGTATTTATAACATTATTATGTTTCTAATAATACTACTTTATAAAGTACTCACATTCGATATTGGGATAATTTTCTAAATTTTACAATGTCTAGACTTGGAGCATGGGGCATATGTATCATAAATGCTCCAGGCAACACTAAAAATCTGTATCCTTGTGATTCAAGCTCCATTATGTGAGACACTTTATTCCACCCAAATCCAACAAATCGTGTATCATATGGTACAACACTCCTTTTTACCACAATATATGGCTCGAAATCTGGCTGCCATTTTACCTGATATTTAAATTATTATTTTTTATTTTTCTTTGTTTTATTTATATAAATATATAGTTACCCTATATGGTAATAAAGCCTTTCTCCATTTGTCATATTTAGTACCAGCATGTCCAGTTGCCCAAATATGATATCGAAACGTGAACAAAACACCTTCATCCCACATATTCATAAGCTCCTTTTTTGTGCGTGGAAAAGATATGCGATATCTCTGTGATTCAAAAGCGGGTACAACAAACGCCTTGTGTAAAAATAAGTGAAATGCGATATGTTAAATCAAGAGAGATTGAACATATTTTACAAATTTTTAACAATATCAAAAATATTTAGTAAAAAATAGGAATAATAATTGTTTTTGACAACCATTTTTTTTTAAATAAATTATATAATGAGTTACAGGAAATCAAAATAAAAATTTCATTCAATTTGCATAAACTTTTCAATACGTATACATAATCAACTTGAACAATAAAACTTAAGATTTAGCTATTAAGGTCAGAAATAAGTCAACTGTTTATTTCGTAAATAAAATTATTGCTTTTACTAAAAATTAATCAATTCGATTTGCAATTGTTGAACACATTTCATTTATTCTATTTTATCAAGTTTTAAAAATGTATTTTATTTAAGTGCGAACAAGTTTACTATAATCAGTAGCCCAAAACTGCTCAACGCTGGTCGTTATCGAGTTACATAGAATTTTTGAAATCGAAATTTTTTTGTGTAAAGGTCGACGAACGGTCAAAAATCGGCTCACACACACACCCCATACACATTCAGAATGACATTAAACATCTAAAATACATAAAATTAGCAAACCTGATTTTTTCGCGAAAACAAATTCTCCTTGAAAAGTTAATTATATTGAATGTTATTAAAGTTTCTATAGATTTGTTGAAATATATATTTGATTTACATGCGTATCAATTCGATAAATCTGGTAGTAAGTACTTAAGTCATTCGTTGACCGTTAGAAATGCTTATAATACTACTTAAAAAATTGAAGTTTATTTACCGTTTTAAATTGATTATTTTTCACCTGCTGCGTATATTTGCGAATATATTCATATAAAGTAACCATTGGTAAAAAGTCGATATCAGTTAGAAAGACGTATTCTGTAGTTACTTCTTTCAAACAGATGTTTCGCAAATAATTCACCGGATAAAAGTCCTAAAACATAAAGCATATGAAATTCGATTTTGACATTTGATTTCCAATCGTAAAGTGGATAAAGGAATGAAATTACCACTAGATTATTTAGCATATTAGTAAAGAAAAACTTACCCCTTCTTTATAAACGATGTGGTATGCAATATTTTTTCGTGTATTCAGTGACTCTGATGATTGTATATAATTCAAAAATTGCTGTACTTCCGTATCGGTCATATATATTGCTAAGCTGATAGGTCCTAAAGTTGTAAAATATTGTTATGAGAAAGTATCCGAAAAATTTTTGTATAAAAAAATTATCTGATATAATTTAAAATATAAAAGTGAAATTAATTATAAGTTTGATATTCACTTATTTTCATGGTATTTTGAGTGATATGGAATATCACATATTTTGTAAAGTAATCTGTAATTTAACTAGTTGTAAGTGGTATTTTGCCTTAAGGCAAGATTCATGCACTTGCGGACATATATAAACAATCGACATAATAAATAAAAAAATACATTAATTTATCAGTGATTTAAAAGTATGCCGAGTTGCTGTATAGATCATAATGGGAGAAACTATTGCAGATTATTCATTTCTGTAATTTTATTTTTATTACACATTATTGAAAATTTAACACGTACCTAATACAACTCGGAGTATTTACTAAAAGCGCGATAAATAATTAAACTTCTAATAAATCTTTATAATTGAACAATTTTCTGTATCACCTATTTTAGTATATTATAAGAGCAGGTTTTCTATCGCCATACCAAGTATCATTAAAATTATCGAGAATTTTTTGAATAATCTATTACGAAGAAATGGCCATTATTATCCAAAACAAATAAGCACTTTTATGCGAATTTTAAAGAAGCTGATCATATCAAAAAACTAACCAACGCGAGGGTACTTACCAAATTCAGTCATTTAACGTTTTTGATGAAAGGTCTAATTTTAACAAACGCCAAAAAACGCTACTCATTTTTTCAAAATTTGATAAATTTTTAAAATTAATCGACTTGTCGTAGGGCCGTAATGATTTAGTATGTTCCATAAAAACATGATATCTATTATTAAAAAAAATCATAAAAATCGTCGAAAAAACATGTTATTACGAAGAAACGGTATGGACGATCTTTTCGAAGACGAACTAATCGGCATGATTCCCAACCAATATTCTTCGAACGGTTTTTGAATTTTCAAAATTGATTCTGGATTGTGAGCTAAAACGTGGACAAATAACTTTACTTTTTAATTCCTCGCAGGGTAATTTATAGCAATTGCAAAAAAATCGAAAATGAAAATTTTAATATATCTTTACGTTTCAGAGGTTTCGGAACATTTTGGCATACCTTAGAAAATATGGATGTGTGTGTTTGTGTGCGTGTGTGTATGCATGAGCGGCAACTTATTTATTTCATTGAACTTTCTTGAATCATAAATGATTATTAACTTCCCGAAGGAGAAGTTCATGTTTTCATAAAAAAATCCGATTCACTAAAGTTATGTTTCCTCGACGTTTGAAACCATTCTGAATCAAATGAGACCAAATTTGGAAAAAGTATGTGTGTGCGTGAACAGATTTTTTACCGTAAATCGATGTTTTCTTAAAAACGGCTGAACCGATTTCAAAAATTTGAAAGCCATTCGATGCATCTGGATGAGGACTAGCGTTTATCAACTTTGCGCGAGTGCGCGACGATCATCTAAGCCGTTTCTTTGTAAATCGCAGCAAAGTAAAAAAATTTTCGTCCACGTTTTAACCTGCAACTCCGAATCGATTTTGAAAATTCAAAACCGTTCGAAAGATATTGGTTGGAAATAAAGCTAATTAGTTTTTGGTAAAAATCGGTTTACTTGTATTGAGGTGTTATAAATTTTTTTTCGACGATTTTTATGATCTTTTTTGGCGGTAGATACCATTGTCTTATAGCTCACACTAAAATATTACGGCCCTATGACAAGTCGTTTAATTTTAAATATTCGTCAAAGTTTGTCAACATTATTTTGCATTTGTCAAAATTAGACCTTTCATCGACGTTTGCTCAAAAACGCCTGAATCGATTTCAGAAATTTAAAAACCATTTGATGTAACTCAATGCGGACTATTGTTTGTCAGTTTTGTGCCGCGATCTGCCGAGCCGTTTCTTTGTAATGTGGAAAAAGTGTTAAACCCTTTGTCCACATTTAAGCTCATTCTACCGAATCGATTTCAAAATTTCAAAAAATATCAAAAACTGTTCAAAAGATATTAGTTGGGAATGATACTGATTAGTTTTAGGTAAAAATCTACCGAGCCGTTTTCTTGTAATTAACTGTTATAAAATAAATTTAAGCCGATTTTTATAGAACTTTTTTTGGCGATATATATTATGATCAAGTAGTTTAATTTTGACAATTCATCAAAGCTTCGAGTAGTTTTTTGACGTTTGTTAAAATTAAAATTACACGATTTACTTGGTATAACGATAAAGCACTTGGTATTAATGAACATACTGAACCATTAAAGTCCTACGGAAACTGGTTCAATTATAAAAATTATCGATATTTGAAAATTTGCCTTTCAAAATTCTCAAAAATATATTTTTTAATATATATTAAGTTATTTAAAAAGATATATTAACTTCCCGTAGAGCAAGTTATAGTAATCGCAAAAAAATCGAAAATGAATTTTTTTATAGATATTTACGTTTCAAAACCTTCTGAACATTTTGGCATACCTTAGAAAAAATGGATGTATGCATGTGTGAGTCTGTGTGTGTGCGTGTATGTATGTATGTATCCGGGAACACGGATCAACCGACTTGAATAATTCAAGAAACATTCGATTCGTATTAATAAGGAGACGTGCTGATTAGTTTTTGGCGAAGACAGGTCTAGCCGTTCCGAAGATACGGGGCAAAAAGTGCCGAAAACGGTAACTCATTTTTGATTAATTCAAAAAACATTTTATTTGTATTGACTAAATAAAAAACTGTTCAAATTTCGTTGGAAAGGCAAGTCCAACGACTTTGGAGGTATGGAGAAAAAAGTAAAAAAATGAGCCATTTGGCGGTCAAAAATGAACATTAGACATATGCACATCAAATTATCAGACATTTTATAGAGATTTTAACAATAAGTATAAATTTTGTTTACACTCCTATGGGTTCCGTACCAATGTTTACGCGTTAGACGGCGACGCGGCGCTTACGCGATTTGATATTTCGTCCTTATGCAGTTAAAGCAGTATGATTGCTTTGAAAAAAGTTCAGAATTTCTAAAATATTTCAAAATGATTTAAGATAGAATGATTTAATATGGTTCGAAATTCTATTAAAAGTTTCAAATCATTGATCAACTTTTATTGATTATTATTATTATTGATTATTTTTAATTACTCGAATTTTGAATTGCGGTACGGGAAGCTCCACCAATTTGCCTTAAGGCACGATGCCCTAATTGCCTTAAGACAGAATTCCACTTACAGCTAGTTAAGAAATAATATCGATTTTCAAATCGATGAATACCTTTCCAATGATTGCATAATTCTTCGAGAAACTGTATTCTGTCCATTGACATCTGAACGGCTAGGGTCACATCATAATCATCTAGGGGCTCATAGTGAAAATCCAAATAGAATAAGTGTGTTCGCCACTGGTTAAGTCCTGCTTTACGAAATTCATAGCAATCATCGTTCGGATCTATCTAAAATTATGACCAGAAAAAAGATCGTTGTCATTTAAGGCCAGATTAGATGTTTAATATAAGTTTTTTTTACTTATTTATACTCACCTCATTATAATCGAGAACTTCTATTTGGCACTCTGCAAGTTGATGTCGCAGGAGATTTCCATCATAATTTAAAAATGTTAAATATAAATTCCTAAAAAAACTGGCATGTTCTATTTGTACATTTATTTTTTTCGGAGAATTCCAATGAATTATCTGAAAACATGGTCTTGAAATTGTTATTCAAACCATTATATTTCTTACGCACTAAAAATGATTACAATTTTAAATCTCTATAAATGTAATATTAATTGAAATAAAAAAAAAATAAAAATCTTGGCCGGTTTTCATTATTATATACTCACCTAAACTACGTTACCTTGAAATCGGTAGTATTCGCGAAACAAGATTTGCTGGTGCTGTGGTCAGAGAGCTGAACATTCCAAACACACGGCAAATGCATCACGAGTTCTGGCCGGGTAAATAGAACCGTATTAATTATATCTTGATCAGCTAACGATGTACCGCCTTAAACATATATTTAACGTAAAGAAAATTTTATGTATAAATTCAGTTATCAGTAATTCATTGTATACCCAAGGAGTTAACATAATGTCGAGCCACCGGCTCCCAGATCGACGTCCAATTTAGTTTTCGCAATTCGGATAATCGTAATAAAGCCACCCCAGTGTTAAATCTATTTGAAACATTTATTTCAAACCTCATATAAAAACTCATCTTGTTATTAAATTTTTTCGTATCGCTTTTATGATCTTTCTTACCCTTTTCCTAAAGCTGGCCACGGTTTGTGCTTTTTCCATAACGTTCCTAAATACCAATCGCTTTGATTTTCTACTAGGCCGATAGCCTGAAAAATACCAAACTAGAGTTACAGGAATCGCACATATTGAAATATTGATAAACGTAAAGCTGGAATAATCTTTTTTTTTCAAGATTAGCACCAATATATTGCCCTACCTGAACATCGCTCATGCTTTTAAATAATTTCCATAGTTCTTCTATATTAGCGGCAAATGTTAAATCCGTATCAAGCAATATCACGTCTGATAACGACTTTGGTAAAATATATGGGAGAGTTAATTTTAGATGCCCGTATGGGCCCGAATAATGTTGGCCAGGTATCCAAGCCACTGAACTTAGGGCTTCTGCACTCGGATAAAAACTAACATTGACTGCAATTATAAGGTCATTTGAATAATAATTACACAATTCCACAAAAGTTGGGGGTCAAATTGCAAAAACGGAGAAAAATAAAAAAAAAACACAAAATCTCCGATCTACAATTTTTTCTGCATGATAATTAAAATCTTATTATTTCTGTCTGGAATCTGAAAATTAGTCTGGAAGCTGCAAAAAGATACTCAACAGGAATAAACAAGGATCGGAGATTTTGCCGTTTTTTATTTTTCTCAATTTTTTGCAGGTTGATTTTGATTTTAGATTTGTCTTCAGCGGATAAAAAGTACTTTAAATAACATAAGCCGAACACTGAATATAGACAACTTCGTAGACCTATATTATTATTGCATTTTATGTACATTCTTACTAGAGAAATAAAACAATTTTATGAGAAGTACAAATAAACAAATAAGAATTAATATATAAATATAAATATAATAATTAATGTATTTTAATACCTTGTTGTAATCTCCAGGTTTTAAAAAGTGTGCCAAGAATATTTTCGGATATTGCGTCAGTTAAAAAATGAAAGTGTAATGGTCTTTTGCGATAAAATAAAATTGACTTTAGCATCGGAACAACTTCGCGACTATTATTTAAACCTGCACAGACAATGCATATATGGATTGGTTCACAATTCCAGCCCCCTGCCATTGTACTCTGTAAAAGTGAGTGATTAAATATATGATTAACTTCTCGTAGGGTAAGCTAAATATGAATGTTTGTGTGCGTGCATATGTGAAGATACAAATTTTCGACGATTTCGAGAAACCGCTCAAACGATTTGGATGATTCAAATAGCATTCTATTCCGATTGATGGAGAAACGTGCTGATTCGTTTTTGGCAAAAGCAGGCCTAGCCGTTTCGAAGATACGAAGAAAAAAGCCAAAAATGTCAATTCAATTTTTGAGAAAGCGGAGCGTCCGATTTGAAAGATTTAAAAAACATTCTACTTGTATTGACGGTATAAACAGTTGATTAAATTTTTGGGAAGGCAGGTCTAGCGATTTTGGAGATCATGAAAATAATGTCATTTGACGGTCAAAAATGATCATCAGACATATTGCACATTGATCCCCAGACATATTGCATTTTGTTTCTACTTTTTGCGTTCTGTGTCGAGATTTATAATATTTATCTTCAAACTGCAACGCGGCGCTATCGCGCTTGTTATTGGTTTTTGGGGAAGGCCGGATCCATTGTTTTCAAATTTTCAAAAAACTAGTCGTGTATGGCATTGTGCCTTAAGGCAAACTGCTGGAACTTCCCGTACCGTAACGAAATATTTGAGAATAATTAAATGTTTTCAAATTAATTAGATTAATATAAATACTGTAATATTTTCGAATTAATTCGTAGAATAATTATATAATTATATAAACTGAATTTGAAAGTTAAAATTATTTATTTAAAGTATATAAGTGAGCTTTAGAACTTTAGCCAGAATTAAAATAAAATCTGAATTATTTACATAAACAAAAAAAAAATTCTTTTGTAAAAAAAAATTGAAAAAAAAATTTTGAAACAAAATGTTTTTTCCAAAAGCAATTATTTTGTCATAACAAGCAGAAAGTTTTTTGAATCATTCAAATCGGATGTTCCGTTCTCTTAAAACCCCGATTTCTAATTTCTGCACTCTTTGGTTCGTATGTCCGTAACGGAGGGACCGGCCTTTGCAAAAAACTAATCAGCACATATCCCTATCAATAGGAATGTAATGTTTTTTGAACCATTCAAATCGGTTGATCCGTGCGCCCAAAAACGAGGGCGAAAAAATGCGGACATACAAAACACACACACACACATTTTTATGCACATCCTACGGGAAGTTAAAAAATCAAGATATATCAAATTTTTTAAATGTTTAAAAAATAAAAATTTGAAAACTTTAAAAAAAATTGAATTACGGTTTTAAGTGCACATTAAAAAGGGAACACAAGTTTAAAGAAATCTTAAAATAGATCGTTTTATTCAGAACAAAGATCGCAAGTCATATAATAATATGTTATGTCCTAATTTGAATTTATTATAATTTATATATTAAGAGCTTTGATTGGTTTTCGTAAAATATCGTAAAATAGGTCACAAAATTACAATAACAAAAAAATCAAAATTTAATCGACATAAATTAAATACTGCTACAATAGGAATTTTAGAAACATCTTTTTTAATTTTAAATACAATAGGGAGCTACAGAGATTTTAAAAAGATCGTTTTTATTAACATATAGAAATACTAACACACGTAACTAATTGTAAATACTATTTTCTAGTTTTTAATATAAATAACTAAATTTTTATGGAAATATAATTACCAGTCCTATTCTCTCGGAATGTCTGTGTAAAGTTTCTTGTGCAGATGGATGAACATATTGTCTAATAGCCAAATTTAAAAACCGTCTTTCGTATAATCTTCCATATGTAAAAACACACACCATAGTAAATAAAAACATTGAAATATAACATATTTTTATATAACGATTTTTAAATAAATTAACTGTATTAATTATCATACTGGAATATATTTTATTAGTTCTCAAATAGACCCAAAATTATCTAGTTAGTTGCGTTATCTAAAATACAATATTGATATTATTGACCGTAATTAAGATAATTGTTTAATAATGTTTTCAATGAACTAAAATTCGTTTTAGTAAAATTAGATTGCTTCATTTTCATGGTATTGTGCCGAAAGCATTATCAAGTACGTCGTCACTCTTTGTTTGCTGAGCACAAATGACTTTGATTTAATATGATTGAGACTTGTAAGACAATGTTGAAGTATTATACCTTGTACTAGAGTAGCAAATTGATTTTCAAAATTGAAATATACGTTTTAAATTTAAATTTTATAATTTATATAAAATTAAAGAAAAATATTTTATATAATATGAATCTTATTCGCTACATTTCAGCACTATAATAATTTAAACGACATTTAAATGGATTATTTATAATTATTGAATTTTATTTATTTTTATAATATTGAGAAATTTTGTTTATTAATTTTATTATTATTATTATTTGCTTTTATTTTATATTAAATCATCATACTACGGATATCATTTTAATGAAAATACTATCCTTTATTTTGTACTCTTTTTATTTAAATTTATGTTATTGTTCATTATTGTTACTAGATGTTAAATTATTTAGCAGTTGTAACAAAAATTGTAATTAAAAAAAATTAATGTGTACTGCAGGCAGACAATTACTTCTTCTATTTTATAAAATGGTACAATTGAAACAATTTGTAATTTCCTGTAGGGTAACTTATAGTAATCGCAAAACGAAAATTATTTTTTTCATATTTCTACGTTTCAATCCCTTTTGAACATTTTGGCATTCCTCAGAAAAAATTGATGTATGAGTGTGTGTAGTATGTATGTATTTTTTTTTTTGTGCGGATGCAAATTTTCGTCGACGATATCCCGAGCACAGATTACCCAATTTGATTGATTTAAAAAACATTCGATTCGTATTGCCTGGAAAACGTTTCCTAATTAGTTTTTGGCAGAGGCAGGTCTAGCCGTTTTGAAGATACGGGGCAAAATGTCAATTTAATTTTTGATAAAACGGAGCGTCTGATTTGAATGATTCTTAAAACATTTCACTTGTATTGACGGAATGAAGAATTGATTAAATTTTTGTGAAGGCAGGTCCAGTTGTTTCGCAGATTCTATAAAAAAGTTAAGAGTAATGTTTAACCATTAGGCTGCATTAAAACAGCTACGCATCGCGATCTTAATTAAAAATTTAAAAAAAAAATTACGGGTACGCGAACTTCCTGCAATATGCTTTAAGGCACGATGCTTTGCGCCACTAGTTTATAATTGGTAATAGTTTATCCGTTGTCGATATCGAATTTCGGTATTTATGAACACCACTGTAGATAATGAAAACAATCAGATCTCATTGAGACAATAACCCATAGTGCGATGATTCGTTCTTAATGGCTTTTGTTATATGATTCAAAAAGCATTCGCACACTTATCACTTTCGATATACCGAAACAAAATTTACTGCTTTTATTACATTGCTCATTTATAACTTTTTGTATTTTCATAAAGTACAAAACTAGTTGGAATTGGTATTTGGCGTGAGGCAAGTTTCATGAACTTCCCGATATGTGTAAATAATCGACTTAATCAATAAGAAATAAATTAATTTATGAGTGACTAAAAGTATTCCGAGTGGATTTATTACACATAATTGAAAACGAACGAACACGTTAACTGGAAGTGTTTACTAAAAGCAAATTTTCAAAAATCAACAATTTTTATAATTGAACCAGTTTCCGTAGGTCTTTATTGGTTTAGTATGTTATTTTAAGACCAGGTGCTTTATTGCAATACCAAGTAAATCGTCTAATTTTAATTTTAACAAATGTCAAAAAAACTACTCATTTTCTCAAACTTTGATGAATTTTTAAAATTAAACTACTTGTCGTAACACGTAAGGCCGCAATATTTCAGTAAGTTCTGATATATATCGCCAAAAAAGTTCCATAAAAATCGGCTTATTTTCGGCCGATCGTCGCACAACACCGAGAAACGATAATCCTCATCGAGATACATCAAATGGCTTTTAAATTTCTGAAATCGGTTCAGGCGTTTTTAAGCAAACGTCTAATTTTGACAAATGCCAAAAAAACGATACTACACGAATTTTTAAAGTTAAACGAGTTGTTGTAGGGCCGTAATATTTTAGTATGATCTATAAGACTATGGTATCTACCGTCAAATAAATAATAATAAAAATCGTCGAAAAATTTTTTTAACACATTATTACAAGAAAACGGTCCGGCCGATCTTTACCAAAAACTAATCAGCACGGTTCCCAACCAATATTTTTCGAACAGTTTTTGAATTTACAAAGTCGATTCAGAATTGCGGGCTGAAACGTAGACGAAAAATTTTTCGATTTACAAATAAAAGGTTCGGCCGATCGTAGCGCAAACTGACAAACGATAGTCCTCATCGAGATACATCGAACAGCTTTTAAATTTTTGAAATCGGTCCAGCTGTTTATGAGAAAACGTCGATTTACGGCAAAAAAATCTCTTCACATACACATACACACACATACTCGTACATATTTTTTCCAAATTTGGTCTCATTCGATTCAGAATGGCTTGAAACGTCGAGAAAACATAATCTGGTATAAAGTAAATATTTTTTTTTCAGGTTTAGGAATATCTATATGCATAATAGGCTTAACGTAGAGTTCACATGGAACCCTAGCTCCATACTTGTTTATCTATGCCTAGCTCGTTTTTAATTTGCCGTACGATATGTTCAGTGCTGGATTTACAGTAGGGGCAATCGGGGCTACTGCCCAGGGCGGCAAATTTTGGGGGGCGGCAAAATTTGGATAGTGAGAAAAAAATTCTATACAATATAATCAACTTTTTTGACAACATTTTTTATTTCAAGAAATATAATTAACAAAACATAATACGATTGCAATGCAAAATTTGGGTTCAAATAAATGTTAACTAAAATTTATTATTTTGCCTAGCCTCCCTCTCCGAACGTAAATTATCAAATTGGTTATTAAGTTATCGAATTTGGCAATTTGGCTAATATAAAGATCCGTAAACAAGGTGAAAGTTTAAGAAGAATATGTTCTTCAGTTCTCGAGATCTCTTAAAA